ACTTTTTTCACTTTGTCCAAACCTTTAAAAGAAGCTTGAAGAATATCCCATGCTTCCTTGGAAGTTGTTGCATTTGCAACCTTCTCGAACATCTTGTCATCCAAACCTTGATGGATGAGAGTGAGTGCCTTTTGATCCTTCTTCTTTGAGGCAACGACATCTTCTGCTTCATCAACACCGGACTCTACTGGTTCCCAAACATCATAGGCACCAAGCAAGGCCTTCATTCGAATACACCAATTTCCATAGTTCTCTTTTGTAAGCATAGGAACTTGGAATGGTGTTCCGTTAGAATTCGTCATCTTTTCTCCAAGTTTGTTGTCTTCAACCACACCGGCTCTGATACCAAATGTTGGGGAAAAAAAATAATTTGGGAGAGCAAGACAACAAAACACTCAAACACTCACAACTCACTTTAAGAATGGAGAAGAAATGATATTTTTCATTCAACTTGACTTGTTCCAAATGGCTAGCATACATGGGTATTTATAGTAGAACTCCTATATGTATCTACCTAAACTTCATGTAAACACACTAACTAAATTCACATTAGTCTATACTAGTTCATACATCTCATAATGAAGTTCACATTAGTCTACACTTATTCATACATCTCATACTAATATGAACTAATCTAAACATATTTAATATAAATGTGAACTAATGGAAACAAGTTTATTATAATTTTAACAGTGTGGGACTGCATCTTGTTCATGATTAGTTTAATTTAATGTTACCAGTAAAAACAAATTAACGATATAGTATGCAGAGACAGATCGAGGATTTAAACTTAGACATGTTCAACTTTAAGTTTCTTAGCACTCAACTACTCGTTGTGCTTTTAAATTATGGTTTCGGAATTTAATATTTGTTGAAATTTTAGTAGATTTTCACGTATATACTCTATTTTACCTGTTGAAGATAATGAGTTTAAGTTGAACCTATAGACAATACTCCATCTGCCCTTTTTTTACTCTTCATTATGGGTCGAGTACTTGTTTATGATAGAGTCCTACTTTTTCCTGCTGAAATTTAACTTTTTAACATGAATTCTTGAACAGAGAGATTTAGGTATGATACTCCTCTGACTGGTGGAGCATTTGATTTTGAAAAAGCCACAACTTCTCTAACTAGAAAAGCATTGGCTTGTCCAAAGAAAGTTACTATTGTAAGGCATGGTCTCAGCTCTTGGAATGAAGAAGGTAGAGTTCAGGTTTGTCTTTCATCTTCTCATTTCATGTTCCTCCACCTTCTTTCTGACAATAGTGCTTTTAATTCCTTGACAATGTTCTTTCCTGTATTGCTAAGTTTTTCTAAAGACATGTATAATGGAAGTACAGAAAAGAATGCCACTTTCCCACTTAGATAACCAGATTATCCTAATATTAAGTTGCTGAGTCGTTGCCAGAAAATTTCGCCATTCGGGGGTCCATTGAGAACTTGATATTAAAGATCAATGAACTACTGACAAGGGCATTTGAGTTTATGTGCCAGCCAATGTGGCTGAACAATATGATGCACTCAATCTTCATGTTTCGCACTTAACACCAAACATTACATGATTTCAATTTTCGTCTAAGTAATCATGCTTACTCAGGATAAGAAACTCAATAGCAGATAACCAAGAAGTGCAAATCTTTTCTGGTGCAAGGCCATTATGTTTAGCCTGGAGGTCCTGGAACAAGAGTGGTGTTGCTAGTCTGAGTTAATACTTGAAGTTAAAATTTTGTTAGTCATGGTTTTGAGCACACGTGCCTAGTTAAGAACATCAAAGTCATCTTTCGATACTGATGCGAGTCTTATGGAGCATTACATTTTTCTTTTTCCAAAGACAGGTTATCTGAATTCTGTGCCCCTAACTAAAACATAACTTCCTTGATAAATGATACGATGTGTGTTAGTTGAAGTGGGCTTTCCTAGTCCAGGCAGACAAACCTAAAACTGCATTTGAGACTGTGGTATCCTATCACTAGTTCATCTCTGATCCTGTTGTTAGTTCAACATTTTATTCATTAAAAAATTTACCTTCTCTTTTCAGTACATCAAAAAAGATATAATCTATAGCATGAGATTTCGTTTCTCTCGTTCAGTGTCTCCCTGGTTCACTCAATTAATGCTTTAAGACCCTCTCTACTTTCATTATCAGAACCTAAATCAATCACTGGCACAAAAAAATATTGCATTGTCTTCACACACTCAAGGGTCTCTGGAACTCCCTTAATCTAGAAAACCGAAGTTGTTAATAGTGAAGCATTTTAAGTGACTTGTCTGTAATGCTGTAAGGAACTCGTCTTTTAACTTCCTCTTTTTTAATTTGTGACTTGTCTGTTCTATAGCTGCTAACCAAATGGGTTGTACATGTAGGGAAGCTCAAACTTATCTATACTTTCTGAAAAAGGAGCAATGCAAGCAGAAAGGTGCAAGATGGCCTTGTCTGATATACACTTTGACCAATGTTTCTCTAGTCCTATATCACGCGCCAAGGTTGGAGTATGACGTTGTGCAATTATCTTTTGCTTACTAAACATGCAGTTATTTAAGTGATAACAACAATGTCTTCTGCAGACGACTGCTGAAATCATGTGGCAAGGAAAAGAAGAGCCTCTGATTTTTCTTGATTCCCTGAAGGAGGCCCATCTATATTTTCTTGAAGGCATGAAAAATGGTCTGCCTCATTCACTGCTGAAATAATGTGATTTTACTATTACCTCTTTTGTGTCACTATAACCTTAATATTGTAACAACAGGAAGGCATAATCATTTTAGCTTTTGCATGCATTTAGATCAGTTCAACAGCATTAGCAGTTTTCTAAATGATGTTTTGTGTTTGGAGGCAGAGGATGCTAAGCGCATATATCCAAAAGAGTATACAACTTGGAGAGAAGATCCGTCTAATTTTTGTGTAGACGGTGTATACCCTCTTCAGAAACTGTGGGGAAGAGCATATGAAGCATGGGAAGAAATTTTATTGACACCGGTAAGTTCTAAGTACTGCTTAACTGATCTATGTTGATTGCATTTCAACACAATATACTGATATAGCTGGTTCTTCATCAGGGAGAGAACTTTTTGGTTGTGACGCACAAATCTATTTTACGAGCATTGATCTGCACAGCTCTTGGACTAGGGCCAGAAAGGTACTTCTATACACGGACAGTGTAAATGAACTTGTATAGTATCAAGTCGCTTAAAAGATAATTATATGTAATGGTCCAAAAACGAGGGATCAGTAACTTGGAAAGTAAGCGTGCTACAACATGTTAAAATACTCTGATACAGTCTTATTAGCTTATTCCCAAATCCCCTATACGATTAACTCTAATGATATTCCGCGGCACAAAATTAAACTAACCCTTTAGTTATGACAGCTGACCAAGCCAAATGCTCCTACAGATACTAAAATCAATGCTGGCGTATACCAAAACTTTCTTTTGTCACTATGAAAATTACATGTATTTTTTTATCTATTCTAACAATTCAACTAGTACATATAAAAGTTGGTTTCTTCAGCCACTATTGTTGACAGGTCTAATTTTATATTGATTCAGGTTTCGTTCAGTGGATATAAATAATGGAGGATTCTGTGTGTTCAAATTCAACAAACAAGGAGAAGCCATGCTTCATTCCCTGAACATGACAGCACATATGTACACAGACCATATCTACCACTACTAAATCAACGGCTATAAGGACTCGATGGACAATTAAGATAATAATCACCATTGCAACAACAGAGAGCCGCGTCAAACCAGAACAGATGTCTGTTTAGTATGTGAGTTATGAATCATTGAACTCTTAAAATAAAATTTTAGGTAGAATAGTATTATAGGTTAAGAACAGCAAAAATTTGTAACATGTTCTTGTATTTTAACTGTTACAAAGTTGATTGGAAGTAAAGAGTTCATCATTGAACTCTTAAAATAAAATTTTAGTTAGAATAGTATTATAAGGCTCATTGAAGGGCAAAACGCTCCATACCAAGAATTTTTGCATATCCAGGCTTGAACCCAAGATTTCTAGTTAATGCCTAAAATGAAGTAAATGGCCCTAGTGTGTGCGTAAGAAAGTTCTAAATTCTTGGATTTAACTTTTTCCTATAAGTGCAATTTCATCTCCAATGAAAGTTTACTTGCCTTATTTTTCAGGTTAATAATTTCGCTTTTAGTGTAACAAAAATATTTAATGTTATCTGTGTATGACAAGTTAAACTCGTTATTCTTTCTGTACAAACATATACTACTATTATAGAAAATTTATCTGCAAATGAACATTATATGGAAAAATTAATTGAAGGGTGATTTATTAGGAACCACCCAAAATCAAGAAAAACTAAAGACTAGATGACTCATATTTTCTTCATCAGGCTACCGTGCCAAATACGGAGCTTCATTAATTGTTCTTAAAACACCATCACCACCACCAACAACAACAACAAAAACAAAAAAAGGAAGGATTTCAGCGAGATAAATGATGCTATACACAGAGGCGGATGTAGTGTACTACCTACGGGTTCAACTGAACCCATAACTTTCGTCGCAGAGTAAAAATTTGTATGTAAAAATTCATTAAAATTGCAAAAAATAGTAGATATGAACCCATAACTTTAAATTTATAATGGGTTCAATGTTAAAAACCTTAAAATTGAACCCATAGAATTTAAATCTTGAATTCGCCTCTGGCTATACGAACAAAAAAAACTCTTCTTCACTTATCAACTCTTATTTGTCAGCAGGGAGCGGATACTAAATCATGGTTAGATTAGATTAATTAGTAGTACTAGTTTTAACAAATCTTAGTTGCTAATGAGAATGACAATTTATTAACAATATAACCAAAAAATATATATATTCTGTTTTACAATTTTGTTGCACCACCACCACATAGAAAAACCGGATTTCTTTAACATATATGCAAATCACAACTGCTACAAATTAAAGATCCTTTGGTAGTATTATCAACCAGAAAAGATTACAATGTTAACCTAATCTTTGTCCAACAAAGATTGAAACATTAATTATATATTACGTGGAGATAAGCATACCAAACATGACAAAGATGTCTTTAAATCTTTCTTTTCGCATTACAATATTTCAACTACATATAGCATGTATATTCTAAAAACACAAAAATTAGTACAAAATAGGGGGAATGATATTCTTTAAAAAAAGATCAACAAAAAGCTGTAAAATTTCCACGAAGGAGGAATATAAGTCTAAGCTTTGAGACTGTAAAGATTTAGAACATTGTGAAAAGAGCAAAGAAGAAGAAGAAAATAGAGAATAGAAGCTGCAAATCCAGCAATAAGAGATCCAGCTACATGATCACAGAACTTTGGAACTTGTCCACAAATTGGTAGCCAACCTGCATGACTATTCCCCTTTTTTCCCACTTGTGCTATTGCCAAACATGCTGATATGCTTGAGTCCAACAGCAATGTCATAATCTATGAAAGAAAAAAGATGAAATCAGTCTAAGCCATAAATATATATATATTTAAATTATTAATATCGCGAAAAGATACATACGATATCTGAAATGAGTATAATGCGTCCCAGCAAGTTCTTGGTAGGAAAAAAAAGAACTATGAGGGAATAGGCACTTGCTAGTATATTCACTCCAACAAAGTACCTGAAACATCAACAACTTATTATAATAGGTGCAGTGACGGATTCAAAATTTAGACGTTGTGAGTACTTTTTGAGTTAAAGAGAATAATTTCTGAAATGTATATCTAACTCTATTTATACTTACTTTTCACACATATATATAGAGAATGAGTAAGTTGGCTGTAATACGTGCATGTGATTGACAATATAGAAAAAAGTACTCACGTTAAAGACATTAATGAAGATTATGATCAACTTACTTGAAAGTTGGCGTGTTAGCAAATTTGGCTTCAAATGTCATGCCCAAGACTTGAGCAGAATCATGGCTGGTAACCATGATAACAATGGCTGCAACACTAGCCCCCAAGGCTAAAAGCCTAAGCAGAAATATGATGATCCTGTTTGCCAAAGTCATAATTATAGAAATAGGAAAGTGAAATGATCTTTAACTCTTGTATTAAGAAAAACCAGGAGAAAAACAAAATAGAACTCTACACTTTAATGTAAAAAGGTAGGCAAGTTAAAGGGCATAAAAATATATGGGATGTGTGGAAAAGAAGTGATCAAGAGAGGTAGAAATAATAAAGAGGGATATTTGTGAGTTAGGAAAAGGCAGATAAGTGGGTGGTAAACTTGTCTTCTTTAGGGGCAAAGGGTCATGTTCTTGGTTACCTAATGAATGTATACAAATTAACTTGTACCATTAATATATAGTGCTAGTAACAAGATCCAATGAAACCCTTTTGAGAGGACCCTTTCATGCTATTGCAATTTGGAACTAGTGGCACTTGGCCAAAATACATTGACTATCTACCAATAAGTGTTCCTTATAGGCAGGAAGAAGACTATTTAAATTTTAATAAGCAAAGATTATTATTTAATATCAATTGTATTATGTCAGTTGAACTACCAAGTGGTTAATTATATAGTATATGTACGGCGCCTCCCATAATTGTTACTAACGTGGACAATTGAATTAACATGTTATTGGCTTCTTGCAATGAGAAAACTTTTATGTAGTAGTAGAAAATGAAGAATTAACAAAATAACCAATAAATATATAATATATGTATAATTTAATCATATTTAATATATTTGTAACGGTGTATAATCAATGTATACATACTATTTTGGTAAAAATACCTTAGATAATTGGAATGGCCATTGGAAAAAGAAATGGTCTTATTAGGAACTATTATATTCTTAGGAAAGAATATTTCATGCATCGCCGCTTCATGACGTGATGCCGCAATATCTCGATATCGGCCAACAATAAGTTTTAGATTTTCTTTTTATATTGAAATACTAAATAAATATTAGTAATACTTACATTGGTTAGCGCTTGGAGCAAAATTTTTATTTCTTTGATCATGTATATCCTAAAATCCGAGTAACAATTAAACTTGTTTTGTGGTTTTAAAGATATGTGATTTAGTCCAATACTAATTGATAAACAAGGAATCTAACGTGTAAATTTATGAGTAAGGCAAATCAAACCAGTCGTGTAAGCAGACCTCGACCTCGAGCAAGGGCGACCTCGAGGTAAGTGAACAAGAACAGTAAAATAATAATAAGACGATTCAGATGAACAGTAGGCAAGAAGGTGAAAATGTATATTCTCTTCTCAATGATTGATGATGCGTTACAAATGATTGGAGTCCCCTTTATATAGTAGGTGAATCCTAAATAAGGTACAATTCTAATTGTAGTAAGGAATCTTATTATACAGCTGTCTAACCGCCTAGTACAAATCTGTTCCGGAATTTACGCCGTGATCTTAGGGTAACCGCGGGAATCTCGCTCTTTCTGTTATAAAACCATAACGGTACTATCTCGAGGTTGATCATACTCGGCCGGATGTTCATCGAGCACTTGGATCTTCGAGTCTCGTATTCTGCCTGCGAGCTCGAGCTCGGTCCATATTAAACTTGTTCTCGATGCGACCCATCGAGCCTACAAAATCGGGAACACATGATTTTGACCGTATACAGATAGTACCCACGTTTCTTAGAATAAAATGATAAGAAACGATTTGATCCTCGATCCTCTGATGCCTTGATCATGATACCAATCTCGTGACTTCAGCGGCGGAGGTGATTGAAAGGTCGTGTCTGCATAGTTCCCAAGGCCATTAATTGAAGGCGGCTGACGGTCAGCCATTGGCTTCCCCAAACCGTTGAAGCGGCCACTATAAATAGGTAAATTTCACAACCTTTTCAATCTTTATTTCTCAAACCTTTCTCAAAACCTTACTAGCTTCTTCATCTTCTCTGAGCCGATTCTTCCTTCAACAACATCAACTTCTTTTCTTCTTTCGAGTTCCCCAACAGCAGTGGCTAAAATATCTAAAACCGTTCCCCAAAAAGAAAAATTCTCCTCATCATCGCGGCCGGTCGGTGGTAGAACGACGGCACCACCTCGTATAAAGGAGTGCATTCCTGAGCCATGCGAACTATCTTTCGATTTCAAAATCGACAAGCCTGCATCAGTCCTGGGCCTATGTGAGCCCATGTCCCGATATATCTGCTTGATAACTGAAGGAGATCTCGAGCAGGTGAAAAAGGATTGTAATTGGGAGGATAAGGGGGCGGTGATTCCTTCCCCTGAAGAGTACATCACCACCCATGTAGAATGATACTTAAGCGTGTACACTTATCCTTTCACATTGTGTCCCATGGATCCAGCACTGGGTCCTGTAGATCCAGTCATTCTCTATTTCTGTCACCAATATCGGGTGACACTTGGCCAGATCTACCCTTCTTTTTGGCGCATCGTCAATTTGCTCAGGTATTTCTCGGCCAAGGCCGAGGGGATGTCTTTTACCCTCGACCACATAATTAGGCTATACAGCCCTCGACTCTATCGAGGTGGTTTGATAAAGCTCCAGCCCCGATCCTCGAAGGCGCTATTTTCTAGCATCGATGAGGACAAGGACCGAGGATGGATGAGCCGGTTTGTCCGAATCAATACCTCCGATTTAATTCCTGATGAAAGGATGCCATTCCCCGAGGAATGGAACATGAAACGTAAGTACAAACCTGTCAACGATGATTACTGCTCTGGTTTCCCTATTCTTCCTCGATCTAATTCCTTTTTGATGATGCAGCTGCCCCTTGGTTTCCTGGTGCGATTCCGGACCTCGCAGGTTGGGTTCGACAACTGGCTTCCACTTCTTCACATGCAGAACGTTGTTGGCGTGATTTGGCCAAGGGTCAGTGGGAAGCTAAAAACCATGGTGAGCTCCCTTGTTTATATATTGGTGTTTCTCTGTAAAATACTTACTTTTCCCTTACGCAGGCCTCGGAGACACTGTTGCTATGAGGTCGCCCCCGCCCGGTGAAGAGGAAATTCCGAAGCCAATCAAACAGAAGAAAAGGAAAAGGGCTTCGCCAGCAAGCTCCCCGAAGCCCGAGAAAAATAGGGCTCGAAAGCCTAGGGTCGATCCTGCAGCCCTATCTGCAGATGTGGTCTAACAACTTCGAGATGAAGAGAAAGAAGGAGAGGATGCCGACTGCTTGCTGGTAGCTCGAAAAGGGCAAGCACTGAGGCTCCAAAGTTCGCCGAACCGGCAATGGCCGATGCGGTTCAATCTCGAACCGAAAAAATCTCGGAGGGGAGCTCGAGCAGAGTCCCCGAGTCATCGGGTGGTAAAAGCGCACCTCGTCCCGGGGGACATTTGGCGGGTGAGCCCGAGGAGCCTAATTCTGAGGCCCTCCAAAGAGAACATAATGCCCCAAGTGAATCACTTGGGATAATTAACATAGATAAATTGCCACCTGGTCCTGTGTTCTCTGAAGGGCAGTTCCGAGATGCCGAGGCCATAAAAACTCCCGACGTGTGGGCGACCCACGAAGGGAATGATATTTTCCGGGAGTGCTTTGCAGGGGTCGAAGATGGTCCCGACCTGGATGCCTCGTTTATTTTTGACGAGGCTCAACGTCTTCTTAAGCAAGTAAGTTTCTGCTTCCATAATTATGCTTGTGATTTATTCTCGTTTTTCTTAGTTTGACTTCTTTTCTTTGCGTGAAGGCTATGACGATCCATCGACAAGCGTCCTCCAAGTCTCGAGCCGAGCTCGCTCGATGCGAGGCTGAAATCAAGAAGCTCGTGGAAAAGAGGGATAGCTTCAAACTCCTCTATGTTTAAAAAGAGGAGGAGATTAGGGGCCTTAGAGCCGACTTGACGAAGGCTCATCGAGAACAGACCGAGCTTATTGAGCAGGTAATGTAGCTTTTGGGAGTTTGTTATGTGTTCATCTGACTTAGCGACTAACACTTCGACTTTGCAGGCCCAGTAGAGGGGCGAGCTGGTGGAGCAGCTTTGAGAAGAGCTCAAGGTGAAAGAGGCCGAGACCCTATGGTGGAAGCAGCATATGGATCGTCTTGCTTCGGAGAAGGACACGCTTCGGCCCCAGCTGACTTTGGTCGAATGTCTACTTCACAACGTGGAGGTGGAAACCTTGGCCCGGAGCCGAAAGATTGAGGAGCTCGAAGCTAAGTCGACCGTTGAACTTGCAAAGGCTAAATCTTAGTCAGAGACATTTGTCGCCTCTTATCGAGCTGACGTCGAGGCTGCCAACATTCGGGCACAGGAGATCTCTACTGCTGCCGAAGTCAAATTGTCATGCGTTATCGACCACGCCAGACGACAATCCCGGAGAGAGACTCTCGAGGAAGTGCATGCTCGTGGCTTTGACCTCTCAGCTGATATTGAAAAGGCAAAAGCTCTGGAGGACGAGGCTGCCGCTCTACTCTCCGATGATGAAGACTCTGCTAGTGCTTCCGAGAGCGGAGGAGACGAGGATGAAGCCTTCGAGGAGGAGGTTCTTGAAGGTGTGGCTCCCGAAGATGCAGCTCCTAAAGCAGATTAGGCCTTTAGGATTTTTTTCCTTTTTATTTTGTGTAAGGCTCCATATGGGCATTTGTAAATATTCTTCATGTATATAAAGAATTCCTTTCCTTTCCGCTTTGTCTTCGATTTGCTGTAAAGTTTGCTTCCATTTTCGTTTTATGCCTTGTCATGCATCTTTTACCCATTGGGTTTTGTGAGGGTTCAGTATCGATCGGAACCCTTTATTTTTAGTGCCTTAGCACAAGTTTGTATTTGAATAATTCGATACCTCTTAAGGTTTTTTGAGGGCTGATTTTATCGAAGCCCTTTGATTATTTTGCCGAGGGTAGCCTTTATTAACCGGTTTTCATAGAATTCGAAGGCCTGTTTTTATTGCGGGATTCGCACGTCTCCGAGCCGCGTTATTTCAATTGTAGCCTTTATTTCGGTCGTAGCCTTTAATATGGCCGTAGCCTTCGGGTGTGTCTCTTGGACTTGTTTTTCGAAATATTAGTCCCCGAGTATGATGGCCTTGGCCTTTGTATCGAGGGATTCCCCTTTGAGGTCTTATAAATTCGAGTTTAGACAGCTCGAATGTGTTGACTGTCGATGACAGTCCCCGAGTATTTCGAGGTGTATTTGTGTTTTGGCCCTTGAGCCATTTCTCGCAGAATCGCAAGTATGGAGCTCGTATAGTAGAAAATTTCTTTGGGACACAAAGTGTTTGATATAGAAAGAATGCTTCTTTGAATAATTCATACATGCGTACATATTTTGCCATCGGGGCTCGACTATTCTACACGGACACGGTTCATCTGACCGTTTGGCCCATTACAAATTTCCTATCGACGCCCTCTTTGGCGTGAAGTATTTTTCTCGAAAATATAGCCTCCTAATGTGATGCCCCCAGTATTCGAGGTTGATTGAAAA